AAACTTATTTCCTTGGTCTTCTTATTGTTGATTTCTAATTTTATGGCATTGTGGTCTGAGAAGATGCTTTGTAGTATTTTGATGTTTGTAAATTTATGGAGGCTTGTTTTGTGTCCTAACACATGATCTAGTCTAGAGAATGTTCCATGTGTACTGGAAGAGAATGTGTATTATGCTGTAGTTGGGTTGAATGCTCTGTACACATCTATGAGGTCCAGTTGGCTGATTTTGTTGTTTAGTTCCTCTGTCTTTATCTAGTTTCTTTCTGGTTGCTCTATCCATTTTTGAAAGTGGTATATTCAAATCACCCACTGTTATTGTAGATTTGTCTGTTTCTTTCTTCAGATTTATTAGAGTTTGCTTTATATATTTTGGGGTTCTTTCATTGGGAACATATATATTTATTATGATTATGTCATCTTGTTCAATTATCCCTTTAATCATGAGATAGTGTCCATCTTTATCTATTATGCTGGTTTTTGCCTTAAAGTTTATTTTATCAGAGATTAGTATTGCCACTTTTGCTCTTTTTTTTTTTTTAATTTAGCTTGGTATATTTTTATCCATCCTTTGACTTTTAATTCATTTTTGTCTCTGTGTGTAAGATGTGTCTCTTGCAGATAGCATATTGAAGGATCTTGTTTTCTTATCCACTCTGCCACTCTCAGTCTCTTAACTGGTACCTTTAATCCATTGACATTCAGTGTAATTACCGATAGGTATAGAATAATTGTTGACATTATGGTTGTTGTTTGTTTGTTTTTGTGGTGCTGATGGTTTCTGTGTTCTGCATGTCTTCCTGTCCTGAGTTCATGTTTTGTGTGTGTGTGTGTGTGTTCCTTCTTGTTAGTTTCTTCATAGTTTTAATGTTTGCATGTTCTTAGATTTTCATTTTCTTGGTATGTTGTGAAACATTAAATTTTTTTGAGGTTACCGTATATTCTATTAACTTTTCCCTCCACTTAACACAGTCTATTTTATCCTGTAATCTACCTGACCTTCTTACCACCTGGATATCTGTTCCTATATGTTTACCTTCTTTCACATTGTAATTGTTTTGATCCTAGACTGACCTCCCAGATCTTCTGAATTTGTTTTTATAGTTTTGTTCTGTTCTTGACTCTTCCATTTGTTTATTGAGTTCTGGGTGGTGCTGCCATGTACGTCAATCTGTTTGTTGTCTGTTCTTGTTGTTTCTCAATCCACAGAACTACCTTTAGGATATTTTGCAGTACAGGGTTGGCTTTGTCAAAATCCCTTAGCTTCTGTTTATATTGGAATATTTTGATTACACCATCGCATTTGATTGACAGCTTTACTGGATAAAGGACTCTTGGGTGACAGTGTTTTATCTTTCAGGGTTTTATATATGTCTCTCTCTTGCCTTCTTCCCTTCATGATTTCTGTTGAGAGATCCAAACATAATCTGATTTGCTTGCCTTTGTATGTTACATTTCTCTTTTCCCTAGCTGCTTTCAGGATTTTGTTCTTATCTTTGATTTTCAAGAGCTTGATTATTATATGTCTTGGTGAGTTTCTTTTAGGGTCTGTCCTTCCTGGGATTTGTTGAGCTTCTTGAATGCTTACCTTGTCACTTTTCAGATGTTTGGAAATTTTCTTCTAGTAGCTCTTCAACTGTCTCCTCTGTGGACTTGTGTGATTCTTACTGTTCCAGAATGCTGATAATTCCTGTTATTCCTCTTCATGTTGTTCAACATGAATCTTAAACCTTCTTCAGATTTTTTTATCCTTTTTTCTGTTTGCTCTTCTATCTTAGTAGTTTTCAGTGATTTGACTTCTAGCTCACTAGTTCTGGCTTCCATCTATTCAATTCTACTCCTTTGCCCTTTCAGTGTATTTTCCATTTCTGATATTCTATTATTAATCATTTGGACCTCTTTCTGTAGGTCTTGAATTGTTTCCAATGCTGTATCTATCTTATTTGATTGTTCCTGTAGCACTTTCCCAACGTCTTCCTTGTTTTTCTCAAGTCCTCTGTTTTCCTGAATTCCTTCTCAGGCATTTCCAAAGCCTGCCCTCCTTCAAATATGAAGTCAAGGTCTGCATCCCAATCATTTGTCTCAGTCATTTTATCTTGTTTCTGGACATGTCCAGAGATGGTCATCTGTTTCTTGGGCATATTCAATAGTTAGCTTTGACTTTAATACTTAGATGAATGTATGTTATATTTTTTTTATTCTTTCTGATTTGCTCCAGGTAGATATGATCGGGATATGGGCTTCCCTTTTCACTCTTCATATTATTCAACTCAGAATAACTGTTGCAGGTGTTGGCTGCCTACTTGGTGTATGGCAGCTGGTATTGGTTCTTACCTGGATGGTGGGATTTTATAGGTTGTATAGGATTTTATAGGTTGTATAGGATTTTGTAGCTTGACTAAATGACTGTAGTTGCTGTCTCTTCTTGGGTAATGTAGGGAGAGAAAGAGCCCCCTGAAGGTAAAGAGGGGACCAAAAAAACAAAACAAAACAAAACAAAACAGCAACAGCAAAAAAGATTGGCTATTGTAGCCTATAATTGGCAGAAAAGAGAGAGAGAAAAAAAAATTTCTGTGACCAAATATGAGTATAACTTTAATGCCCATCTCTTGGCTTCTTGCCTTCAAGGACGCCTGAGAAATTTCAAGATGCCACTGTTGGTCGTTATGATGTAACTCAGGATTTAATTTTTGGCCTATTTCCATTTTAGTCTGTCTCTCTCCTACTCCATAATCCCCATTCAGGCCTTTTTCCTAGTGATTAACAGTTCAGGGCTGGCTGTGGCCGTTTTGCACTGCTGCTTGGTTTTAAGTGGAAATTGTTCCTTTAAATTTTGAGCAGATCTGTGTGCATGTGTAGTAGAATCCTCTGTGTGTGAGGAGGGTATCCACTCACTTAGGCAACCCCTCTAGTCACTAGAATGGCAGTGCGCAGACAGTGAGAAACCAACGAACAGATTAAAAAAAAAAAGAATGCCTACACCTTTATCTCCAAGGATTGGTCAGGCATCCATGGTGGCTCTGATCCTTCCTCCCACTCCATCTCACCCAAGATGACCACTCCGGAGGCACTGAGGCCAGAGGATCCAAAAGCACTAGATTTCTTGCTTCCGTTACAAATTCCACTGGCTGTAAGCCTTCAAACTTTCTAAATATTCCTTTATATGTGGTTCAGAGTTCTGGGAATTTCCCCTGAACCTGTTTCATCTGGTATTCTGTGTTATTGCTGACGGAGCTCCTCACTGCACTTCTCCCTGATCTGCCATCCTCTGTATTTATTTTCTTACAAACAGGATGATATTTGAAATCTTTAGAGGTTTATCCTGAATCCAGAATGACTTGCATACTTTTCTTTTGAAGTTAGAGTGGATAGCATTCTCAGGAGAAGGTAGTGCTTCAGGAAATTCTACAAGTAAACCAAAGTTAAAACAATCTAACAACAACCATCAAAAAACCAAAGCAACAGTCAAACAAACAAAATCTCCAAAATTTCCTTGGGGAAATCAACAGAAAACAGACAATTAAATATAAAAGAACAGTATATATTTTATAGATAGGAAGATTATTATGCCCCCAAAAAAAACCCCAAAACACCTGAGGAAATATATTCATTAACCAGTATGAAAGATGCAGCAGTTGCATTGTGAATTAACTGGAAATGTGATTGTTTTATTTTCCCTCTATGGTCTTTGGTCATGTGGAATAGATGTTAAATGGAAATAAATTGTTTAAACTCATCTAAGAATTTAAAACTTTCATAGAACTGGGATTCATAAAATTAACTGTTTTAAAAAGTGCTCTTTGAAGGCAGTTTTCCCCTTAAGACCTGAGATGATCAAAACCCTTTTGACTAACATAGTACTTTTTTTACCTTGTTACAGAATTCCTGTTAATGGAGAAAACCCAAAACATCGTTCATGGCATACATTAACCCCAATAGCTGATGATAAGCTTTTTTTATTTGGTGGACTAAGTGCAGAAAATATTCCATTAAGTAAGTCAATGGAAGTTTAGACTACAGTTATTGTCTCATTACATTTCCTTTAGTTGCATTTGATACTTAATGTGGCTTCCTGTTTTGTTCCTCCTTCTAATTTTTTGGTTTATCTATATCCTAATTATATGCTTGCATTATGGTAGAGGACCTCTTTTCTTTTTCATCCTTGGCTTTCCATGGTCTCCTGTTTCTTAGAGAACAGGAAGGGTGGTTGAATATAGATGAATTAATGTCCCTTTCAACTGTCATATTCTGTGAGTTTGTGTCCTGATTTTTAATCCAGATATCTATGCTGTGGGCTAGAATGGGCAATAGAAGAGTAGCTTTTCATAGAAAGCTCTGGCAATATAAGATTGGTAGGCCAGGGCTTCTTTTTTTCTTTCTCCAGAACTCCAAGGAAAGTCCTTAGCTAGAATTTTTACCCTTATCACTTAGGATTCCATGGCTATGGATTTTGTACTGACTTTCTTTCAGCAATCACATTGTGGTATAATGATATATAAATATCCAAGAATAGCCACTTTCTTAGCTTGACATGATCTATGGTTTATATTTTCTTAACCTAGAAGTTTCCTATTACTAGAGAAATTATCATTAAGAATCTCTGTATATCATTAAAGCCATTCATATACTTTTTTACAGCACCTAGAAGCAACTGGGTTTGAAAAAATAATTTAGTGAGAAGCAAAATTATATTTGGCAGCCATCTAGATACTAAACAAAGATGAAAATTCCAGAGGCTTTTTTAGAGAAAGAATAACTCGTAGTAAGGGAATAAATTAGTTATTCTTACAGATTTTTCTCATGTGAGATATTTCAGTTAGGAGATTTGAAATCTAACCAAAAACTAAAATATGTTCATTTCACTAAGGGGTGTTTAATGTGTCTTCATGTGGTGTAGTGTTATTGTCTGTTTATTATGGTAAATACACAATGTTGTGCAACTGTTACCACTATTTGTTTCCAAAATTTTTTATCACTCTAACCAGAAACTCTACTCAGTAAGTGATAATTTCCCATTCTCCCTTCTCTTACAACCCATGGTTACCACTAATCTACTTTTATCTCTGTCTGTCTATTCTAGATAACTTTTTATAAGTGGAATTATACAATATTTTTCTTTTTGTGTCTAGCTTATTTCACTTAACATATTTTCAGGATTCATCCATGTTGTAATTTGTATCAGAACTCTGTTAGTTTTTATGGCTGAAAAATGCCCCATTTATGTGTATGCCATAATTTGTTTATTCATTCATCCGTTGATGGACACTAGGGTTGTTTCTACCTTTTGACTGTTGAGAATAATGCCTCAATGAACAGTGATGCACAAGTATCTGTTTAAGTCTTTGCTTTCAGTTCTTTTGAGTACATACCCAGGAATGAAATTGTTAGGTCATATGGTAATTTTGCATTTAACTTTAGGTCTCGTGTTTTTACTTCCAATTTGCTATATTGGACATTGACTTAGGGGAAATTAAATATCCTCTTAGTCCAGCCAGTTTTCTTTCTTATAGATAATTCCATTTAAAATGTAGTTACATGGCTATTAGATGATACTGAGATATTATTTCTAGTTTTGTTGACTGTGATAGTGGCCTTGTAGTTATATAAAAAAACCCATCAACACTTTTTAGCAATACATATTGAAGTGTGTATGGCAGAAATTCTAGAATATTTATTTGCTTTAGAATAATTCAGTAACAAGAATATCAAAAGGTGGTAAATGGAACATATGTGGCAAAATCTTGATATTTGTTGGATTTGGGATGTGTAGATGTCTGTTGTCATGCTCAGTCTACTTTTGTGTGTATGTTTAATTTTTTATGGTAAAATATACATGCTCATAAATAATAGTTGCATAAATATAACCTGGTAAATTTGTAAAACAATTGAAGTATTTTCGTAAAGACCTAATTTTAATTTCTGAATTATAAATCTGCAGGTGATGGTTGGATTCATAATGTTATAACAAATTGTTGGAAACAACTTACACATTTACCTAAAACAAGACCCAGGTAGGTCTAGAATATGACAGATAGTAAAATTATTAGGAATTTTAAAGTATTAAAATGTAGCCCTAAATTTATAGTTTGTTATTAAAACCATAAACAATCAGGAATTATATCTTCCCAGTAAGTTTGATGTTACCCAAATAATTAATTTAATTATATTTTAATCATATATAATTACTAAATTGATTAATCCTTTTCATCCATATTTCCATGTATATATGAATATAATAATGCATATTTGAGAATGTTCTTTTAGATAAATATGTAATCTTGCCTGCTAGAATAATTAAAAATATAATGTTAATATTTGTAATACATAGATAGAGTGGGGGCTGGCTTTAATAGTTATTTAGTAGTAGTTATTTGTATTTCAAAGAAGTTTCAAGCAAATTAATAAGGAAATTTGGTTTTATGTTGATACAGTAAATTGTTTTTCTAATTAACTACTGTGAATTTTTTTAAATGTTATTTATCTGTGATATACATTAGGGTAAAATTATAGACTCAATATAATATTAGACTACAAGGATTACCACATTAGCAGTGTAATTCTTATTTTTCTAATTGGAATAGTATAATAAATATATCTGCAGAGACAATTCAAATTCAGTGTATTATTGTTATCATCAGTAATAGACTTAATCTTTTTTATGCCATGTATTTCATATTTTTTTACTATAATGTATACTAGTGTGAAGTCAATCTAATAACACATATTTTTATTCATAAATGACCATTGAGTTAACTTGAGAAAAAATATCTAGGTGTGTATATTAATATTTTATCTTAATTACATGTGGTGGTGGCGATTATGTGTTGTGGAGTCGGTTCTGACTCATAGTGACTCTGTATAGGGTTTCTGAGGCTGTAAATCTTTATAGGAGCAGAAAGCCTCATCTTTCTCCCATGGAACAGCTGGTAGTTTTGAACTGCTGACCTTAAGGTTAGCAGCCTAACTCCTATCCGCTACACTGTCAGAGCTCTTAAGTACATATAAGGGACTTCAAAAAGTTCATAAAAGAGGGAGTAAAAGATAATGTAATTTTTTACAGACTTTTTGAAGTCCCTTATATTTAGATTTATATATAAAAACTACATATTTTATGTATATTATAATTTGACAATTCTTGATCATCTGAAAACTAATGTATTTTTTAATTAAAAGAGTTGTATCTAACATATGGGAGTCTAGAATTCTAACAATTGCTCAGCTACAGTTTAGCTTTGTGACTTTGGGAAAGTCACTTAAAGATACTGAGCATCAATTTTTCTGTAAGATGAGAAAGTTTGACTAGATAAATTCTTAGTTTTCTTCTAGTTCTTTGATTATACAGATGCATTAATTGTAGACCAAAGTGATAGTAAAATGTTTTATTTTGCTCCTATTTTATATTTCAACCCTTAATGAATAATTAGAACAACATTATTATCAATAATATACTAGTTAGAAGAGCTATATAAAGAGATTTCTTTTAATTCAGCTGATGTGTCATGTAAATCATATGCTTTATTAGAATGTTTAGGTGTAAGTTTAGAGCAGCTGTGAGAGGACATAAACTATCAGTCTATAGAAAAACATCAGGTTGCAAGCTAGATGTCACCAAAATCAAGGCAGGAAAGGCTTTCCAGTGTTCTTCGAAGATGAAGTCCAGGCCAGAGTTTCCCTAAGGCAGATAAGACAGAGGCAGAGCTATCTTCAGGTATGAGGTGAGGATGAGAACAGGTGGGATACAGTTTAGTGTAAGGAGAATAAATATATGTATGTATATATATATATGCTTATTTTTTAAAAATGAAAGTGATAATTTAGTTAACATGAATTTTGTGCAAACTTTCAAAGTTTAATTTGAAATGTAAACTGCCCAATTCTCCTCTTATAACAGGGTTTCTGAACCTCAGCAATATTGACATTTTTGATAAAATAATTCTTGTTGTTAAGGTGTCCCGTGCATTGCCCTTTACCCACTTGTTGCCTCCCCAAGTTTTAACAACCAAAAATGTGTCCAGATATTGTCAGTGTCTTCTTGGGGACAAAATCCTCCCTGGTTGAGAATCACTGTTGTATAATGTAGTACTCTTCTCCAGGTCTCATCTTAGATAATAACTATGCTTAGTTAAAAAGCCATCTGTATAGCAGTATCTGACAGCCTGAATAGATGGCTTTTAGCAAGGACCCTTTTTTATATGTCTGTAAAAAATGTCAAGAAAGTGTTAGTATATAGAGCTTTAGGTGCTGTTGGATCCCATATTGTTAGGGTTACACATGGCCTTGTCTCCAAAAAGTCAAGCTGTTAAGTGCCGTCTAGTTGGTTCCAACTCATAGTGACCCTGTATAGGGTTTCTGAGAAGAGGCTGGTGAATTTGAACCACTGACCTTGCAGTTCAAACCAACTTTGTGGTCCAGTTCATTATGCTACAGAGCCATACCAGGACTCCAAAAGTTAAACTGTTCCTTCCCCTAAATGAGGGCATAGTTTGTATTCTGTCTCCTTTTGCTAATCTGTTTTTTAATCTCCACTCAAGTCCCATATGGGTTCTGCTGAATATTTATATAAATTTATGTCCTAACATATGAATTGGAGAATTGGGCAGAGTATTTCCCAAACAAAATCTCTGATGACTCAGTTCTAACCTGAGACCCAAGCATATTTACCCTGAATGTGTGCATGATTATTTGAGTAAAGTATTTGGATTTAACAGATTGGACATTATCCCTTTGTTTGCACATGTAAATAGTTAAGTAAAAAAAATTAATTTACTAAAAATTGGTTATATGGTAATAAAATAAGTGATATGTTTTGTAAATCTCTTGCTTCAACAATTTGATCTAAAAAAAGTAACTAAATTACTTTCAGAATCAAAGCAATGACTTTGTAAAATCCTTAATTTCAGAGCTTTCTGAAATATAAATTTTGTAAAATCATAAAATTATTTTTGGTAAACAATGGAAATTTGGAGATGGATGTGAACTATCATACCATTTCTAAAAAAATATTTAATGCTCTACCCTTTTATGAAATAATTTGTGTATTTGATCACTGAACAAATTATGTTGATACTTTGTGCTTTTGTTAATCAAAAGTTTTTGAGCATATCTAGGGTGCAGAATACCATATTAAGCATTTTTGAGTAGAGCATAAAATTAGATTCTACTTGCAGAAATCCACTATCCATTCTCGGAAACCCTATATAGGGTCCATATGAGTCTGACTGATTCAACAGCAAACAACAACTCTCACAAAAAATAAGGAAAGAAAAGGAAGGGCTTCTACTTATAGTACTGTATTTCCACCATGGCCAATTTTAAGCTACCAACATAATGTCACTGAGCATAGAGTTTGGTGTTAGCTAGCCAGCACACTCCTCTGGCTATTTCTGACCTCAAGAAAGCTAGCAAACAAAGTAGTATACAGAGCAACTGGTCTTCAGATGTAAATTGTTGTTGTTGTTAAGTGCCATCAAGTGGGTTCCAACCCATAGCAACCATGTATAGGGTTTCTGAGGAGCAGCTGGTGAGATTGAACCACTGACCTTGCGGCTCAAAATGACTTTGCAGTGCCGCACATTAAACACCAGCGCCACGCCTTTAGGAAAGTATAAAATGAGCACATGAATGTTGAAGGGATGCTGAGGAGAGATGTTAACAGAGCCAGTTTTCATGTGTATGTGGAATATTTCCTGGAGGACTTGAGCCTGTTTTTGAGATCCTGAGAGATTGACATATCATTGTAAGCAAACTAGACTTAGATAAAAGCTTTCTCCTAGGGGAAGCAAATAAATGGACTTGATTGAAGTAAACAGGTTCATTTGGGAAGAGGCAAGAATTAAAATTTAAAGGGAAAAGAATAGCTGTTGATTCTGAATATTTGGCTAAGAACAGAGGACACTGGTAATAAAGATATTGTCTGATCAGGAAATTTCATGATCTAAAACAAGATTTGAACATTTTTCTCAACTGTAAGAAGCTAGGAGAGATCAGAGATAGGAAAATATTAAGAATACATGGTATTCTATATCTAGGGTGGCTGATGAGTAGTATGAAAATGGAAATGTAAAAGGGGTACCATGGGGAACAGAAAGCAGGGAAAGGAGAGTCAATGATGATGCTAATGGGAACGGTAATAAAAGCAACTGGTAAAGGTGCCCGTTTCAGCAACGTGCTGAACAGTTCCTTTTTTAACATGCCTATTTCAGTGATAAAACCTGTAAGATAAAGAGATTAGAAAAAGGTTATGGGGGGGAGGGGAGTATAATAGAGTAATTGAGAGTCATCTCCTTAATTAAAATAATATGATTTAATGTACCCAAGAGGAATCTTAAAAATCTAACTCCTTTGGGGACATGCCAAAGTTCAAGTTCAGTAATGCCTCTTTAAAATAGATTGAATTTTAGAGTGTACATTTTCAAATTGATTTATATGTAAAGTAAATTCTTCATTATAATACTTTCACTGTTTGTAATTTCAACCATAGGTTATGGCACACAGCCTGTTTGGGAAAAGAAAATGAAATAATGGTATTTGGTGGGAGCAAAGATGATTTACTTTCCTTGGATACAGTAAGAACATTTTAAATCTATTTTATTTGAGTGTGTTATTTAAACAAAGTGGCTGTTCAGCAAGAATGTTAGTATTCTAACATTGCAAAATACAGAAGTACTTGAAATGTCATTCTGGTAGGGTTCATTTCAGAATGTAAAGCTTTGTGAGTCATATCAGGATATCTTATATTTACAGATCAAAATGGTCTCCCCTAGCCAATTTATTAAGAAGAGGTTTTAAAGGATGGCTCCTCTTTTACTTCTCATTTCTATCCTTTCTCTTCTCTTTAAATCTAACCATAATATCTGGTTGAATTGAAGTGTTTATACATAATATTTGATAACATAAAAATATATACTATAGTTGTAAACTACGAAGATACTCATAAAACAGTTGTCTGTGAAACTTGCTACACAATTTAAGGTCTGAAGTGCTGCCAATATTGTTGAAGCTACCTATTTATATCTTCTGCATCTTACCTGATAGCTTCTTTCAAGAGACAGCTACTTTACTGAAATTCTTTAAGTGCATTTTTGTTTTATTTTATGCTTCTTTAACCATTGTTTTGCCCAGATAGTTTACATTTGAATTTTAAACATTCTAACTTTAAAATCTGATAAAAACCAAAGTCAAAAGAATAAATAAGTAACATTTGGAGAGTACTGTTCTTTCACTCCTAGCATCTTGGGATATTCACAGCAGGTTGGTCACATTCATACCATGTATGTGAGCCATTGGATCTGGTTTGTATAGAGTATGTGAAAAAAGCAGGAAGGACTCAGCCAGCAGGGATAAGATACAAGACATGGTCTGACTAAGAAATTGCCAGCTCTCTCTCATTTCTTCAGGCACAGCTATCTCCAGAGAAGCACCTGTGGAATGATGACTCCTGAAATAGGAGGCTTTTCTTTTATGAATTTGGTTAATTTTGTAGTTTTGTGGCTTCCAATTTAAATGTTTTCAGTTATGTATATTGAAATTTTAGAGCTTCCTTCGGCTGAGTATGCTGTGTGTCAAGAAAAGCTTAACTACAACTTTGCATTTATTTAAAAGCACATTTTATGGTTTACCTTCTCTCTCTTGATACTAGCAATCTTTATTTAGGATAGAAAATTTATTACTATAATAGAAATTCTGAATAAAATCTTGATTATAAATTATGAAATTCTAAAGACTTATTTGAGTAGAAAAAATTTCTGCTGACTCTTACATTAATTTTAGATGAGAAAACCATTATTCATAAAAGCTCCCAGTGCAATTATTTTTAAATTAAAAATTCACAGAAATATCAAGACTGCTAGAAAAAGGGGACAAGATGAAGGGGTATTTAAAAATAAACTTTATATGGAAGGTAAAGGTATAAGTAAAACCCCCCAAAATTGAAAACTGTTAAAATTTTGAACTTTTTTAAAGAAAATCATATTTCTGATTTTCAAATTTACAGTAAGATAGACTAAATTTGGACAGAATTTTGCCCACTGAAAGATGTGTGTGTGTGTGTGTGTGTGTAGCTAGAGAACGAGACATGTATTTGCTATTTTGTATCATTTATTGCAAATTAGTAAAATTAAAGATATTAAATTATTAATGTACTATGATATTAATAATGCTGACATCACATTTAATATTCTTCCTTTTTGTCGCTTAGGGTCACTGTAATGATTTGTTGATCTTTCAAACACAGCCTTACTCATTACTCAGGTAAGCAAATTCAGTTTTTCTAGCTATAAATAGTATTCATGCATGATTATTTCTTCTACTTTAAAAAAAAATAATACTGTTTTTCAAATAATTTATGATTTGAATTTTAGAAAATGTTTACATCTTTATAAAAGAATTATTAAATTCATCATGGTGAACCATACACCAAATGTGATTTTTAAAAATTAAAATATGTGGTACTGTCACATTGTTTATAAAATTACACTCAATTCATATGATAATAGTGAACATAAAACATACCATATTTCCTTTATTCTAAATCTTACTTTTACATTTAAACTTTTCTTAATTTGTTGTTACTGTTGTTAAGTGCCACTGAGTCAGTTCTGACTCCTCAATAGGGTTTCTGAGGCTGTGAATCTTTATGGGAGCAGAAAGATTTCTACTATAGAGGGTCTGTGTAGCATTTCTGCCTAGTCTGCCATCTTGTTGTTGATCATATGGAGGTGAGATGATATCTCAAATTTATCTCTTTTCTGAACTTACAGAAACTTTGAACTCTGTGGAGCAATTTGTAGGCTTGACTTGACAACCTTGTGGTTCACAGTCCAGTGCTTATCCACAGCACTCCCTTCCTGAGTTTAGAATATGTCTAATCATAGATGTGTGTGTATGTGTACGTATATACTTAAACATTTCTTTTCTTATAAGTCACCCAGTTTGCAGTATTTGGTTATAGCAGCCTTAGGAAACTAATATTGTTTGGCTGGCAATGTGCTGTCAAGTTGGTGCCAACTCATAGTGACCCTCTGGAGGGTTTCCAAGGCTGTAAATCTTTACAGAAGCAGAAAGACTCATTTCTCCCTTGGAGCACCTGACTTAAACTGCTGACCTTGCAGTTAGCAGCCCAATACATAACCCACTATACCACAAGGGCTTCTTAGGAAACTAATACAATAAGCATTAGAATATTTCTTAATTCCTGCATATAAGGAACCTGCATTACAGTTATGGAAACTAGTTATGTTCATAGTAAAAGTTCAGTAACAATATAAGTACCAAAAAGGAGGCTGGCAGAGGTACAAAGTATAAATTCCATAAGTTCAAAGAAGAAATACATTTGAGATACCATCTTACCTTCATAAGAATAGTAATGATCCATGACATGATGGTGGACTAGGCAGAAACACTACACAGACCCTCTACAACAAAGATAAGGAAAACCAAATGAAACAGATACATATGATAATCCTGGAACCCTGAGCTTCAGCTAAAGGGATAGAGATATGGATTGAAAGCAGCCTAGGAGAGGAAGCTGAACAGACATGCCATCACCACCCCCTCCAAAAAAAAAGACAAACTGGTAACTTGTACTGGCTGGCCAAAGGCAGCTTGGCTATCTCAAACTCTTGTGATCCACCTTTAGACACAATGGAACAGTTTGGAGGTGCAGAGGTGTACCAGTAATTCATAGAGATAAAGGTGCAAGTTTGCTCTTGTTCCCCACACTCCCCTATGATTGATACACTCCAGCATAGTTTCTGCACTGGTTGGTCAGATCCGCATAGTCACAGAAGGATAAATACTGTATGAGATCACTATTATAAAAACTCAATAAAAGGTTTTCATGATAAAAGATACATTCTTTGTTGGTTACCAGAGATGGGAGAGGAAGGAGAGTAATCCACTGGCTAGAGGGTAGATACATATTAACTTGGGTCATGGGGAAGGCAGTATATACAACTAGAGGGAGGTTGGCAGAATAATGATGAAGATAAGTGAAGACACAGGGAGGAATGCAAGGGTTAAATAGGATAGAAGTAAATACTGTTGTATATACAACACTGCATCAACAGTGTTCTACTGGCAGATACATGGACAAATACACAAGCTGAACAGATATAGGAGAGAGAGAGGAAGTATACCCATAAATATATAAGGGTTTGACAGAGGATGTTTGTACATGACTATTTACCTTTGCTGTAAACATACTTGTGAATGTGGTGGAGCATACACGGATTAAAATGATGACCATTTTGTAGACATTACCAAATACTGTGAGGCAACAAGTTGCTGGGCCTAGGGCCTCAGGACCATAGACTCAGGGAACATTATGGTCAATTGGCATAAAACAGACCACAAAGGCAATCTTTTCTGTATGAGTATGTATGAGTAGCATCTAGGATCTTAAAAATTCATCAGTAATTGTCTAATGTATAACTATTGGTCTCCATGTGTGGAAGAAAGAAGAGTGATGAAAACTGATGATGCTTTGAATCAATTTTAATCCAGTAGACTAATGGAATAGGTGAACATCAGTGTACATGACTATGAGACCAGAAGAACTAGATGGTGCCTGGCTGTTACTACCAACTATTCTGAAAGGAATCACATTAGACAATATGGAACAAAAGTAAAAATTATGAAAAAGACTGGGCTTATTGGCCAGAAAGAGACTAGAGGAAGTTGAGAATACAAGACCTTGGCTACACTTCAGGTCTTGAATGGAACTTACCCTCAGGGCCCAATTTTCAACTAGCTGGTAGATAGGTATGTAGTATGCTCACCATGAAATGGTCAACCATTTACCTGGGGACAAAGGTTTGGGAAGAAGAGTGGAAAGGAAAAGAAGAGAAGAAAGACAAAGGAATGGAAAGAAGAATCACAGGGAAGAAGTGGGATAACTGTTGTTACATGGAATTACAAATATTGAGATGAAACAAAGTGTATGGACTAGTTTGGGAAAAGGGCTGAAAATGGATGTAGATGTATATCTTCAAGAGTATTACTGAAGAGTACATGTAGAAATTGAAATGTCATATGTGGGTACATATGTTAGAGTTTTTATAAAAAAGGAAAATTACTATAGCAATACTTTCCATATTTGTCTGAACATTAGAATCACCTCATGATCGTCTCAAAATTCCAAAGTCCAGGCCAGCACTGGACTGCAGTCCCACTATCCAGTTCATAGGAGAAAGATGAGGCTTTCTGCTCTGGCAAAAATTTAAAATCCTTGGAGACCCTCTTATTCTGACTCCTACATGGCCACTATGAGTTGCAACTGACTCAGTAACAACAACAGCATCCCCTTCCTCGAATAATTTTGTGCTCTTTGATTTACTTCACACCATGTCAAAATGACAGTTTTGGCATCCTCAAGAGACTCACATTGTGTGCCTTTTAAATATTCTTTGTTTTGAGAACAAAAAGAAGTATGAAGTGGCAAGACCAGGACTGTAGAGATGGGATAAAGTTTCCCAATGAAATTCGCATAGTTTTGTTACACTCTTAAGAATGAGCAGGTAAATTGTTGTGATGGGAAAAAAATCCCTGGTGTCACTTTTCTTGCCTTTTTCTCACCATTGCAGTTTTCACTTTTCTTAAAAATTTGAACTTCCTATCATGTCTTCCTGTAATTTTCCTGTCATGACTACCCCTTTGGAATTAAAAAAATCAATTTCCATAATCTGAGCTCTGACCTCTCTGCCTTGAATTTAACTGCCTAGCAGATGCCCTCAGAAGTTTTTGGGATTTGTGGAGAACCATAAGGAGCTCTGGTAGCGTAGTGGTTACGAATTGGGCTGCTAATCTCAAGGGCAGCTGTTCGAAACTACCAGCTGTTCCGCAGGAGAAAGATGACGCTTTTCACTCCCATAAAGATTTACAGCCTTGGAAACCCTGTACAGGGTCACTGTGAGTTGGAACCAATTCCGTGGCACATCACAACAACAACAAAGCCCAAACTTGCAGATAGTGCCCATTGATCCTAGCTTCCATGGCATGTCCAAGGATAAGGGGGGAAAGAAAGAAATTAAAAAAAAAAAAGAAATGTAAATTGCTACAATCTGATGAACTTGACATATACTTATAGATGTAGTAACTTAAAATACCAACCAAGAGGGAAAGAATATTTACAGCAAGGGTCATTCCCATCCCCTCTGTATACAAGGTTGATAGATGGGCAACTCAGACATTGGCTACCTACAATGGGGGGTGGGGTAGGGTGGCTGTAAAGGCACGAAGTGACTGACTTACAAATTTTCAAGAGGGAGTTTAGATTCAGAGTGGGGGGCAGGGGCGGGGAGGCAGAATCCCCACTGAGTGCTTTCATCCTGTTTAGACAGGCCTGGTGAAAGGAGATGGGGACAAGACTCTCATGATTCAATAGTGAGTAACTGCGATTGTCACAACTGTAAAGGTAGAAGTTTTGTGGCAATAAGGGGTGAATCATTGATCTTACAGTCCCAGAGTGGCGGACCCTGGAACATCAAGGGAGAAGTGCGGAAGCTGAGTGTGGGACCCTGCTCAGAGAAGTGGCAATGCCAGAGATGGAGGCAGACTTGGAGAGATGGAGCAGCTGAGGATTCTAGACTCATGGAGGGAGAGGGGATATGTGCTGGTGGCGGTGGTGGTAGTGCAGGGTGTGCTTTTTGGCTGTTTGAATGATTGTATATTCCTGAGTGTTTTGGTGCACATCCCCAAAAAACAAAAACCAAAGGGAATAGAAGCAAATACTGTTGAATGATGAAGCATGCAGGGTATTGTAAACATTGCAATAAAATGAACTGATGTGTCCCCATGTAAACTATCACTCAATTCACAATAAAAACTTAAGAAAAAACAACAAAAAAACCCTCTTCAAGCAAATTGAAGATTTTAAAAGGGAGTTTTGTTTGGAATGATGCTTCCCTCTAATGGAATCCAAAGGGAAAAAATGAATACCCACTTCTGTACTATTTCCTCATTTATATCTTTAAAACTCCAGTTTCTGGGTCAGCTTAAGTCAAGTATGCCACCCCAGTGCATTAATTTATGGAGGGGAAATGGGGACAATCAGATTAAATTATATACAAATGGATATCAAGATGTCATTTTGGGTTGTTTGGAGGAAAAAGATAGTTCTCAGAGAAGAAGTGACCTGGAAAGACTTTTTAAAAGGGCTGTCACAGAATAATCTGCTTTATTATTGAGTCTGTATCTTTTTAACCAGAACACTTAATTGTACTTCTGAGAAATCTGTACCTGGACCAACAAGCAGTTGTTCGAACAGAGCATAGGAACACTGAATGTTTTAAAATTGGGAAAGGTGTGCGACAAGGTTGTGTTCTTTCACCATACTTATTCAATCTGTATGCTGAGCAAATAATACGAGAAGCTGGGTTCTGTGAAGAAAAACGTGGCATCAGGATTGGAGGAAGACTCATTAACAACCTGCGATATGCAGATGATACAACCTTGCTTGCTGAAAGTGAAGAGGACTTGGGAACATTTACTGATGAAGATCAAAGAACAAACAGCCTTCGGTATGGATTACATCTCAATGTCAAGAAAACAAAAATCTTCACCAGTGAACCAATAAACAACATTCTTATCAACGGAGAAAAGATAGAAGTTGTCAAGGACTTCATTCTTCTTGGATCAACTATCAACATTCGGGGAAACAGCAGTCAAGAGATCAGAGGATGTATTGCATTGGGCAAATCTGCACAGGAATTTTTTTAAGTGTTGAAGAGCAAAGATGTCACCTTGAGGACTAAGGTGCGCCTGACCCAAGCCATAGTATTTTCAATAACCTCATATGGATGCGAAAGCTGGACAGTGAATAAGGAAGACTGTAAAAGAATTGATGCCTTTGAGTTGTGGTGCTGGAAGAGAATACTACTGGACTGCCAAAAGAACCAATAGATCTGTTTTGGAAGAAGTGCAACCAGAGTGCTCCTGGAAGGCCAAGATGGTTAAACTTCGTCTCTCATATGTTGGACATATTGTCAGGAAGGAACAGTTGCTGGAGAAGGATGTCATGCTGGGTAAGATGGAGGGTCAGAGAAAAAGAAGAAGACCCCCAATGAGATGGATTGGCCAGGTGGCATCATTGATGGTGTCAAGTGTGGCAGCGGTAGTGAGGTTGGCCCAGGATCAGACATTGTTTCATTCTGCTGTGCATGGGGTCACTATGAGTCGGTTCCAACTCGATGGCACCTGACAACAAAAACATCTTTTTAACTTAAGAACACTTGTAAAGTTGCATTTTCTGTTTCTGTCTGATTTTGGTGTCTTGAGCTGTAAAAATGTACATTTATTCTGGTGTTTTAGGGTGGGGGATTTTAGTATGTTCCAAACAGTACAAAGAAGGCAACTTAAGAACACTTGTATGTTAAGTTGCATTTTCTGTTTCTGTCTGATTTTGGTATCTTGAGCTGTAAAAATGTATGTTTATTCTGGTGTTTTAGGGTGAGGGATTTTAGTATATTCCAAACAGTACAAAGAAGGCACCTTATCATGTAAAAATTTTATAATTTTTTAAAAAAGATTACATCTATAAATATTTTATATTGCAGCTTCTGGTTCAAGAAATCTAATAATTCTATTACATTTTGTTTACAGATCATGCCTTGATTGCATTGGTAAAAATGTTGTCATTTTAGAAAGTCAGATATCTTTATTACCTCCTAAACTTCTGCAACAAGTATTCAAAAAGATAACATTTTGGACTGCAGCTAATCACCGAGAAGAACAAAGAGCCCAATCAGAAGAAACAAAATAATTATGAGTGGATCAGTAACAATTAAGTTGTTAAATATTCTATATATTTAAAATGTTTAAGCATTGTAACGAAACTATAAGTTTTACTCCCCATATTGGAGGCTTTATTTGAATGATAAAATTGGAAACAAAAGTGTTTTTCAGAAGGATTATATGACATGGGATATAAGAGAATTAGATGTTAGCAGTGATACATTAATTTATATTTATAAACCAGTTTCCTTATGAGTTGTAGAGCACATATTGTTTTTTAAAATAAATACGATTATTGGAGATTTTATTACAGCATGTAGTCTCTACTGTAAAGATTATTCAAATTTGAGCAGAATGAAAGGTTATGCCCAAGGACTTCATAACCCCTAGCATAATTATAGATATGTATATAAAAACACTACATATCAACTTTCAGAAAGAATAAATTTTTTCCAGTCACTTTCAAATCACTTAAATAACTCAGTGCTTAATACAGCTGGCCAAAAGTTCTAATGTAGGTGAACACCAGTATGGTGTTAAATACTGAACCTGCCCTTTTAACACCTAGTATTCTTAGGCAGCATTTTAACTTTTTTTCATCGTTATTTGAATAAAGGGATAAATGTCTTCTGTTGTTTTTTTTTATCAATCCTAAATTCATTTCCTTTGTCTAAATATGCACACACTGTGATTTAAAATATGTAAATGGACGTTAATTATATTGACTTTGATACATTGAGGAGCAGTTTATTTATTAGTTCTTAAGACTATTTAAAATACATTTTGCCTTGTAAAAAGAGTGCTTCTATAGTCATTTTCATAAGTAATGAAATACAATGATAACCTAGCAATTATAAAACACCATCGATTGACCCACTCCATTCTATAAGGGGTGTTCAAGATGCCAAGATATTGAAAATCTGGTATTTTCTCTTTTATTTTCAGTATTGCCATCTATAAAAAAATGGAACACTTAACTATCTTTTATATTCCTCAGAGTGGTATTTTGCCATAAATACGATTTTTCTTCATTTTATCACCCTACCATTGAGTTACTAAAAATTCAGTATATGAACTTATTCTCTACAATATCACCATGCAAGTTAACTCTAAAATTTAAAATGTTAAAGAAAATATATTTATACATTGAAGTATATGTAATGTATAATGAAGATTATAATAATTGATAGTATCTTTAATAATTACATTTTACATACATTTTATATATGCATATGTACGTATTTTGGATGTATAAAGCTTCTTAAATATTGAAATATTTTGCTTATATTTTATTTATGAACAAAGTATATAGAATTATTATTTTCCTTATTTTGTTGGTGTGAGCCAGTTATTAAGAGTTGATTGTGCAAAACTGTTTCAGTATAAGTTCATTTTTTCTTACAATTTTTAGGTAAATGAATGTCACAAATGATAGTCATCTTAGAAGTAATTATTTAGAACTTCAGTATCAACATTTTATTTTGAAGGCAAAGATATACGAAAACCTATCTGGATTAAAAGCAGACAAATCCTATCTGGATAGTACTGGATGACATTGAGTGAAATGAACACTTTTTAAAATGACTTCTGGATTATGGAAATGCCTGAACATTAAAAGTTGGGTTAACCTCCTTAATAACTTTCATTTTGGCTTCAAGACAATTAAAATTTTATGTATTATCTGTGGCATATAAAATTGGTGTTATTTTACTTAATATGAGGATAGATCAAAAAGCATTGCTATAAAGTCATAGAAACCTTTATTGAACAAAAATATCAAAATGTGAAGCTGTTGTTTCTCAATCCTCCATCTAAGTCTGTATACTTTTGAAGGTGTCGTGTCTATCTCTCTAACCACCACCACCACAACAACAACCCTTCTCTGAAGAATATTTTTGCTCTTTGATTTATGCCATGTCAAAACCAGCAGATTTGGCACCCTTGAAAGACTCAAATCATATTCCTTTTAAATGTTCTTTGAGTTTGGGGAACAAAAAAAAAAGTCCAAATGGCAAGATCAGGGCTGTAGGGTGGATGAGCTTCCTAAGGAAATTCTCACAGGAAAGGCCTTGTTACCCTCAGAGAATGAGCAGGAACGTTATAATGAAAAAAAATTTTTCTCAGTGCAGTTTTCATGTGCTTTTGCTCACCAATGGAGTTAGCCATTTTCATAAAGCTTTTTCATAATAGGCCCTATGATTGCCTATAAGGATCCTTATGATTGTCTATAAGGATCTCTGGTAGCGTAGTGATTACAAATTGGGCTGCGAATCACAAGGTCAGCAGTTCAAAACTACCAGCTGTTCCGCAGGAGAAAGATGAGGCTTTCTGCTCCCATAAAGATTTACAGTCTAGGAAACCCTGTACAGGGCCGCTTTGAGTCGGAACTGACTCCATGGCACACGACAACAACAACAACGACTGCCTATACTTATGTTGGGAATTTCTGAATTTAACTGGCCTGGCAGATCCCCTTACGAGTCATTATTTTGAATGGACTCCTTTTTGAAGGCACTGTAATGAAACTAAGACAAATATATTTCTTAGAAAACTTGTTTGTAGCCATCCACTATTTGCAGAGATAGGTTTAAACACAACTTTTTCTTTCGGGGGGTGGGGGGGTAATAAACCCGTACATGTATGAACTGGAACTCAAGTAACAATACTTTGTGTGTGTGTATGTGTGTGTGTGTGAATTGAATGAAGGTTTGCAGATAAGTTTTACATTCAACATATCACACACTTGGTTTCATCTCAATTATTGCAATCCCTTCCAACAACAACAGTTATTTCACTTTCTGGTGGTCCTTCTTTCCATTCCTTCCCATCCCTTCTTAACTTTGTCCATAATAACGCTTACTCTTTGGATTTTGAATAGTTGGTGAGTATACCTTACTTGTGCTATTGTCTCCCCTGTGTACTATTTGGCTGAAAATTGGGCCATGAGGGTGAGCTCTTTTCCAGATCTAAAGGGCGGTAGAGGATCATAGTCTCAGGGACCTTCAGTATCTTTTTGATCAGTAAGCACCGTCTTTTATTATTATTATTTTTCAGTTTTGTCCCACATTTCTCTTATTGTATCTGGGACTTCTAATATGACTTTGTATAGAGCCTAGTAGCAATACTTTTGACGTATTTATTGTGCTGTTTCTAAAAGTTAAGAATCTTGGAGCAGCACCATAGTAATAATGCTATTAGGTGATGTAGAGGTTCAGGGAATGGGCAAAGTCAGTTTTGAAGTCCCATAGGCCAAACAGTATGCATTCCTTACTCGTCTCCAGCTGATAGCTTATTTTCAATTTTTGTGCTGTTGACCTTCAAAATATATCAATAAAATTGGCTATAGGCAAATTTCAGAGTGAGTGAAAAAGCGGTGGATTAAGACAGTGACTGCAGTAGGTTCAGAAAGCAACAATTGTGAAGATGGCACTGGATTGCGCAATGTTTTGTTTTGTTGGAATTGACTCAATGGCACTTCACCACCACCACCACAAATATGTATCGATTCACAAGCTCAAAAATGTTTTTATTTATAGCACTGGGATTCAGTTCCCTAGAAGCTATGGTCCGTTACTGTTCTGAAGATAGAATGCAGTAGGTAGAAATTTAGGAGATTTTAGTGGTCACTGTTACATCTTGAATGCCATAGCATTCAAGCAATGACCTAGTTTTATAAGGAACTCTTTGACAAGGGTTTTACAAGTGCAATATTTCTCAATCTATTCTTAATTCCAGACCCTGGTGTGGTGCTGTAGGATTAGCACTGGACTGCTAATTGCGCTAACTGCAAGGTTGGCAGTTCAAACTCACCAACTGCCTTCGCAAACCATTTACAGGGTCGCAGTAAGTAGGAACCAAACTGATGGCACACACAGCAATAACAGTTCCTAATCTACTTGTCTCTCAATGTGGTAACCCACTCATTTCTATGACAGGAATTTTCTGTATGTCCTCTGTGTAAGGAGCTCTGGAGGTGTTATGAGAACTGCCAACGGCAAGGCAGTTCTCAGACTCACTAGCCACTCCATGGGTAAAAGATGAGGCTTCACAACGCTCAAGAGCATGTTTTGAAGTTTCTCTTCTAACATCCTTTTTTCTTCCCTGTATTTATAGTGACCTTTTTTGCTTTTTTCCTGTATGATGCTCTTGATGTCATCTTACAGCTCTTCTTGTTTTCAGTCTTAAGTGTCTGACACATCAAATTTGTTCTTGAGATGATATCTAAATTCAGGTGGGATATATTCAGACTCATATTTTGGCTCTCATAGACTTGTTTTAATTTTCTTTGGCTTCAGCCTGAAGTTGCATATGAGCCACAGATGGTATATTCCACAGTTGACCACTGGCCTTGTTTTGGCTAATAATATTGAGCTCCTGTACCATCTCTTTACACAGATGTAGTCAGTTTGGTTTCTCTGTATTCCATCTGGTGAGGTCCAGGTGTATAGATGCCTTTTATGTTGTTGAAAAAAAACTATTTGCAATGAATAAGTCATTGGCATTGCAAAATTCTGTTGTTATCTCCAGCATCATTCCTTTCACTAAGGCCATATTTTCCAATTGCAGATCTTTGTTTCCAACCTTGCATTCCAGTCACCAGTAATTATCAATGCATCTTGATTGAATGTTTGATCAATTTCAGATTGAAGGAGTTGGTAGGTTTTCAATTTCATCATCACTGGCTTCAGTGGTTAGTGAGTAAATTTAAATAACGGTATTAACTGGTCTTCCTTGTTAATTGCCATGGAGTTGGTTCTGACTCATAGTAACACTGTATAGGGTTTCCAAGAAGCGACTTGTAGTTCAAGTTGACCTTGCGGTCCATATGCTTCCTTGTAAGCATATAGATACTAACCTATCACAGACAGCATTGAACTTTCAGGTCTTGAAAAGTTCTTTTTGATGATGAATGTGATGCCATCCCGCTTCAATTTGACATTCCTGGTGTAGTAAACCATATGATTGTTGGATTCAAAATGGCACAAACCAGTTCATTTCAGTTCACTAAGTTATAGAATATCAATCTTTATGGGTTCCATTTCATTTTTGATGACTTCCAATTTTCCTAGATTCATACTTCATGCATTCTATGTTCGAATGATTAATGGATGTTTGAAGGTGTTTATTCTCATTTTGAGTTGTACCCGATGGGCACATGAACATCCCATAAGATTTTCTCCATTCATGTCACTATGGTCAACTCTACTTTGAGGAGGTAGCTCTTGCCCACTCGTATTTTGAATGCTCTCTAAGAGGGGCTCATCTTCCAATATCTGACAATGTTCTGCTACTATTAATAAGGTTTCAGTGGGTAACCATTCAGAAGTTGCCTGTCGCTCCTTCCTAGTCTGTCTGTCTTAGTCTGGAAGCTCAGCTGAAACCTGTCCACGATGGGTGACCCTGGTGGTATTTAAAATACAGGTGGCATAGCTTTTATCACAGCAACTCGCAAACCACCAGACAAACTGACAGAGGATCTTTCTATACTGTAGCGAGTCTTGGTGGCTTAAGCTAATCCTTTTAAATAACTCTCTTTTCTTTGCTCAAATAAACACAAGATGCAGCTAGAAAGGAGTTTCAGGCACTATACAAATTTTGAGGGGTTAAGTATTTCTTTTAGGTAATGGTTCCTGAAGGAGCTCTGTTTGAACTGCAAGGTTGGTGGCTCAAGCCCACCAGCTGCTCTTCATAAACCCTATACAGGGTCATTATGGGTCGGAACCTACTCGACAGCACTTAACTGCAAATGTGGCAGAAATCTACCAGCCTCTTTGGCAGAGAAAGATTAGGCTCTCTGCACCTATAAAGATTTACAGTTTCAGAAAAACCCTTTGGAGCATTTCTGCTCTGCCTTTGTTGTTGTTAAGTGCTATGGAGTCGGTTGCGACACATAGCGATCCTGTATAGGAGCGGCTGGTGAGCTTGGAAGGCCGACCTTGAGGTTCAAGCCGACTTTACAGTCCAGAGCATTAGTGGATTCTATAGCAGTGGTTATTAGATAAAGATGGAGAGAGACTAACACTTCGTCCATCAAACACAGCAAATTGCCGTAGCACTATTAGATTCGGGATTTAAAACGTATTCTACTTCAATCGTATTTTACAAATGATTTACCAAGTTTGTTGTGTGCCGTCCAGCAAGTTATGACATATAGCGACCCTGTTACAGGATTTCTGAAGCGGCTAGTGGGTTTGAATCGTCAACCTTCGGTTAGCAGTCCAGTGCTTATCCTACACCGCCCCACCAAGAATTGTTTAGGTTATAATTCTTAATTTTCTTTTGGCCTTCTAAAAACGTATCATGTAAAATGTTAGAGAAAACAGGCTGTGTGTGAACAAACTTCATCTTTCTCCCTGAATGTATTTTAAACACTATTCAATAAGCTGGGTGGAGGATTTAGCAATAAAATATGGTCTCTGTGGGTCAAGCAAGATAACAGGAACCGTTCGCTGTCTGGGAGCAGTCAGGCTGGGACGAAGTCTAAATCGCGTCAGGCGCCCCCATGGAGCTCAGAGAAGAGGCTGCTCAGGGTGGTCTGCAGGTGGCCGCCCTGAGTAACTGGGGCTGTGACTACCAGGGAAAATCGAGGCGTCAACTCTTGTGATCACGATTACAATGGGCAATTAATCTTTGAGAAGCTGAGATCAGAAATTTACTAGTTGAGCATTTTCCCTTTGCGAACATCCCTCAGTCGCAGAGAAATTTGATTGCGGGAATCTTGCTAGAATTCAGCATATCCTGTAGATTCCTTAGCGAATGGAGACTCAGAAATGTAGCACAGTTCCAGGTTTAGGCTTTAAACGGACGAGCAAATCCCGGCTGGGGTTCAAGGCACCTGTGTCCTCAGCCGTCCGCAGAGACGGCGGGAGGACCAACGCAGGGGGCGCTGAGCTCTGGCGGGCTTCCGGAGCCCGGCGGGCGCAACGCGGCTTCCGGTCTCCGCGTAAACAAGGGCCGTTGCTGCGAGCGACGAGCTGGATGGAGGCTGGGCTTGTTTGTGCTGAGAGGACACCGCCCCCAGCTCCCGAGTTCAGGCTGGGAGTCTTACCGTCGGCCCTTCGTCCACGTCTGCAACCCCCACCGCCCTTTCGGCTTTGCGTCCTAGGCTGAGGAGAGTTGGGAAGACGCGAGTGCAGGCGGCGAGGGAGTGGCCTAACGCCGCCGGCTTTTACCACCCTCGCTTTTTCCTTGCCTCGCTCGGCTGTGCATTTCTTTTTTTCTTTTCCTTTTTCCTCCCTCTCGAGTGTGGGAATTGTTGGTGAACGAAAGTGCAGCTTCAAGATGGCTGATGGCAACGAGGATCTGCGGGCGGACGACATGCTCGAGAGCTATGAGTCCTTGGAGCTCGCCTGTCCCGCAGAGCGCAGCGGCCACGTAGCGGTCAGCGACGGGCGCCACATGTTCGTCTGGGGTGGCTACAAGGTCAGTGGGTGTTACGGTCGCGGTGGGCGCCAGCCTTCCTCCCTCCCCGCTGCTCTACTTATTTGCTTGAGGGTAAGACTTCCCAGAGTCCTCCAACCCGCCTCTAGGCTCCGGGGTTGTTCTCTCATAGACAGGTTGTCACGTCAGCCTCTGCTTACAAAGCCCGTGCCTCCTTCCTACCCTGTGCGCTCCACTTGACACTGGAGGAGTGTTTTGGGGAAGGCTCTAGGTGAAAGTTGGTTGGGCTGTGCATGTATGTGAAATGTTTTATTTAAGGGTTGAGGGTGTGTGATAAGGTCATGCTGCCCCTTAAGGCCTAGCTCCAAGACTACAGACAGCTGTCTTTGCCCGCTGTGGGATGGATGGCCACGAGGAAGAAAAACCCATGGGATTCCAAAAGGCCACAGGAGTCCCCCCCCCTTCCTGTGTGGAATTCCCAATCAAACCTGTGTAGACCGCCACCAGACTATTTTGTTAGACCATTTCAGAGTCCTTCTTTTTTATATTTTGCTGAAAAATTTTCACAAGAATCTCGTTGGGAAATCAGTGGAACTAACAAACAAACACCAACCAATAAGGCCAGCAGTAAATTGTATTAGAGTGCAGCTCTTTGGTCACTAATCATAAACAAAGTTATCAGTTACCAATTTAGAATCAGTTACATTCTTTCTCCTGTTTGGAGACTCCTACCCAAGTGCCCCTATTTAATACTTGATTGCTGTTTCTTTCTCCTCTTGGAGCCTTGGTATGGCGCTGGACCTCAAGGTGGTTTGAACTACAGGGTTGCGGGTTGAAACTCACCAGCCACTCCTTGGAAACCCTATACAGGGTCACTGTGAGTCGGAACCGACTCAATGGCAGGTAACAGCACTTATTTTGCTAATGATTTCTCTAGCCACCAATGAATAATTGTTTAGAGGAAGATACTTGGTGTAGGTGGTGTGGAACTGCTGAGAGAGGAAGAGGGCAGGTAGGTGATAACCTCTTAAAATGTAAGTTATCCTGGGGAAAAGGCAAACCTGTTGACCATCACACTGCAATTTAAACTACTTTATTCATGATCCTGCTTATTAAAAGCAAGAGCTTTGAAAGAATGGGACATTTCTTTGGAGGAGGAAGGGAGTAAGGTTGTTACTGCATCCAGTAAAGAAGATTTCTGGATGCCAAAGAGCACAGCCTTCAGTATGGATTACATCTCAATGTAAAGAAAACAAAAATCCTCACCACTAGACCAATAAACAACATTCTTATCAACGGAGAAAAGACTGAAGTTGTCAAGGACTTCATTTTTCTTGGATCAACTATCAACGCTCACAGAAGAAGTCAAGAAATCAAACGATGTATTGCACTAGGCAAATCTGCTGAACAAGACCTTTTTTAGTGTTGAAGAGCAAAGATGTCAGCTTGAGGACTAAGGTGCATCTGACCCAAGCCATGGTATTTTCAATAACCTCATATGCATGCGCAAGCTGGACTGTGAATAAAGAAGACCAAAGAAGAATTGATGCTTTTGAGTTATGGTGTTGGAGGAGAATACTAAAAGTGCCATGGGCTGTCAAAAGAACCAACAGATGGAAGAGTGCAGCCCCACTGCTCCTTGGAGGCCATAATGGACAAACTTCGTCTCTCATACTTCAGACATATTGTCAGGAGGGACCAGTCATTGGAGAAGGATATCGTGTTTGGTAAGGTGGAGGGTCAGAGAAAAAAGAGGAAGACCCCCAATGAGACGGATTGGCCAAGTGGCAGCATCGATGAACTCAAGCGTGGCAACATTAGTGAGGTTGGCCCAGGATTGGGCATTGTTTTGTTCTGCTGTGCATAAGGTCACTATGAGTCGGTACTGACTCAATGGCACCTAACAACAAGGGCTGAGACTAGGAGGAGAAGCATGATCTTTAATGTTTCCAAAGAGGTTCATCCTCCAAATTCTGACTGGAACCCTGAGAATAGGCATAGGAAGCCTCTGGAGATTGTTTGGAAAGCATTAAATTTCAGCTTACTACACTGTAGCAAGTTTCTGACCCAGCTGGGCTACTCTAGGCCAACCTGCTGTCTCTTTCAGCTGCATCTCACCTGGTCCTTCCCTAAGTGATAGATAGAGTCTGGAGAGAGAAATGTTTTACGTGGCCAAACGCTCTGTGTCGATAGTACTCAAGATTATTACACTCTGACACCCATTCTCAGTGACATGCAGTCCTTTTATTGTATGTTGACATTCTTCAGAAAGTGGCCAGAGAAAAGATCAAAGGTTGGAAAGGTCAGGCAGCTGTCAAAAATTTGCAAATTAAATTGCTGGAAAGAAGGCGCTGGAATCCAGGTTACTAAATGATTTTTGTTTTTAAAGTGCTTACTCATAATGACCCTGTATAGTGTTTTCAAGGAGCAGCTAGTGGGTTTGAACCACTGACCTTGTGGTTAGCAATCCAGGGCTTATCCTACAGTGTCACAGTAGGACTTGCTTGGGCAAATTACTTAACTTCTTTTAAAAGCTGTTTTAATATCAACAACGTGTAGAGGTTGTAAGGCTTAAATAAAACAATCCACTGATAGCACTCAGCATATGGTAAGTAAACTCAGTCAGTTTAGTAGGCGGCAATGTTATGTGAAGGGAAATGGTGCAGAATTTGGAACTTAAAGTTTGCATAAGGACATATTTGTGTTCTGAATAAACAAGTCAGTTCTGTCCTCTCTGCTTCTTGGAAGAGCATGAAATGGGTGAAAGCTTGCCTAGGAAACCACACATTCTTAGTATGGGCCAGGTATTTTCAATTTAGAGCTTTAGCTTGCCAGTTCTGGTATAGGTAATCTCTCTGAAGTTATGCACCTGGTGGTGGCTGCGTGCCGTGGAGTCGGTTCTGACTCATAGCGACCCTATACAGGGTTTCCGAGGTTGTAAATCTTTACAGGAGCAGAAAGCCTCATCTTTCTCCTGCGGAACAGCTGGTAGTTTCGAACTGCTGACCTTGCGGTTCGCAGCCTGATTCATAACCACTACGCTACCAGAACTCCCTTAGAGATAACCTAGTGAGACTTTATTCTAACTGCTATATTAAAAATGTAAATTAGGAACTGTGAATATTAATGATTATTCTTGAGTATGTGGCATGGGTTGGGTGGACTATGCATTTGACAATTTTCCTTAACTCTTAATTAGCATCTCAGATAAATTACAGATGAAAAAATATACAATGGTGCCTTTTTAAAATACCAGTTAATTTTTTACATTTGTGATTTTTTGGTTCCTAGAGTAATCAAGTCAGAGGATTATATGACTTTTATCTGCCTAGAGAAGAACTATGGATCTACAACATGGAGACTGGAAGATGGTAACTGGAGGAAGACTAACACATTGAAATAAGCTTTCAAAGAAAAAACTTTGTAAAAGCTGTTTTAATGAATAAAAATGTTTAAATTATGATGTTAAAGTGTTCTGCCAGTTTAGCTTAGCTACTTGAGTTTAGATACTTTTGTTGTTATGTGCTGGCTCATAGATACTTTAGTAGTGGTGCTGTGTGCCGTGGGGTCGGTTCCGACTCATAGCGACCCTGTGTAGGTTTCTGAGGCTGCAAATCTTTACAGGAGCAGAAACCCTCATCTTCCTCTTGCTGAATGGCTGGGAGTTTCGAACTTTGAGGTTAGCAGCCTGACTCGTAACCATTTATCCTTAATTTCTTATGGTCGCTTCAGAAGTGAGTCAGTAATTAGATGCTTTATGACTTTTGAGAAATTTCTATTCAGGAGTTTATAAAATAAAGTATTATAATCTATTCTGAGGCACAGGGTTTCCTAGGAGCAGCTGGTGGGTTGCCAACCTTCTGGTTCGCAGTCCACTGCTTATCCTATGGCGCCACATTAAGTTGTTTGTTGCTTAGTGCCCTTGAGTCCGTGTTGATCCATAGCAACCTTGTGTTGGGTTTACATAGAGCAGCTGGTGGATTTGAACTGCCGATCCTTCAGTACAAACTGACCTTACAGTCCAGTGCTTATCCTACAGTGCCACACCAGGATATATTGTAGAAGTTACCAGATTTTGGAATGGAAATAACATACGTGTAATTTATGTTTTAAGTCTTGTGTTTTATGCTCTCTTGAATGAGAAAACAATTTCTACATTGTATCTGTTAGAAATAAAGCTGGTGTCCTATTACGAGTTCCAAAATGAATTTTTCTATGCAAATCTCTTTAAAATACAGTGTTACTATAGACTGCAAATATTAGAGGATTAGACATAATAGTCTAATTATGTTACTTACATTATAAAGACAACTCTAGTTAATACAGTCCTATGAAACTACCAGCTGTTCCACAAGAGAAAGATGAGGCTTTCTACTCCCGTAAAAATTTACAGCCTTGTAAACCCTGTGCAGGGTCACTATGAGTTGGAACCGACTCCATGGTACTTGACAACAACAACATGAGACTACCAGGAGTCCTGGTGTGGAGCTGTGGGTTAATGCACCAGACTGCAAAGTCATTTGAACTGCAAGGTCGGTGGTTCAAGCTCACCAGCATCTCCTCAGAAACCTTATACAGGGTCGCTATGGGTTGGAACCTACTAGATGGCACTTAACAACAACAATGAGACTACCAGTACTTCATACTTAACAAAGATAAAGTGACAGTGCATCTGATAACTATAAGCAAAAGACCTTGACTGTACTATTAGCAATATGAATCTAAGATTTCTTATGGTTTTTGATTCAGATTCACTTTTAGATTCAGAATGAGTTAGTGCATGCACAGTATTCAGTGAAACACATAGCATATAGTAAGCATTACCTAATTACCTGGGTGAAGAACTTCCAAATTACTGACTCCTGCTTGCCTGACATAGCCCTGTAGGATAAACACTGGACTTCTAACCACCAGGTTGGCAGTTCAAACCCACCAGCTGCTCTTTGGAAAGCTTGTACAGGTTGGAACTGACTTGATGACACTTGACAACAACCTACTGCTTGCCCTTTAATATTATGTAAATTTGTCCTCAGTTTGGCACAAATGAAGCAACTGCTCCTGGAAACAATTTCATCACAACCACCTACGCTTGCTCCATATGCACTTTTTAAATTATTGAACAGGGTTTGATGCTTTTCTTTTACTGAAGAAAAGCTAAAGAAGAATTATGTACACTTATTGTGGTTTACCGACAGATTCCAGTTATAGACACACTTAGGAATGATTTCATACATAACCCAGGGACTGTCTAAATTACATAAGGGGCTGAATCTGATTCATGGCGATGCCTAAAAGGTGAGGGAAATGAAAAATACCTATTGAATTAACCTGTCATAACCAGAATGTGAACAGTTTATCTTTAGGGTTCTGATCCACTCAAAATTCAAAAAAAAAACATTTATGGACATGAAATAAAAAACAATTTAGTTTGAGAAACATAAAATGGTTATGTTTGTATATCTATATATGTATACACTTTATACCCAGAGTAACAAAATTCTGCACTTAGGCTTCCAGACTTCTCATTCTGCACATGGGTAGTACCAACTGGCATTGCTCATAGAATGAGTAAATAGGAAAAATCTTTCAGTCATTTAATTTTAGAGCTGGAAGAGACCTAGATGTTATTTAATCCTCACTCCCCCCTCCCTTTCTTGTTGGGGGTATAAGTAAAAGAGAAATGAATAGACTTGGGATTGCTTTTTTAAATTTTATTTACATGTAACTTTTCCCCCTCAGGAAGAAAATGAACACTGAAGGTGATGTTCCTCCTTCTATGTCAGGGAGCTGTGCTGTGTGTGTAGACAGGGTGCTATACTTGTTTGGAGGACACCATTCAAGAGGCAATACGAATAAGGTGAGTGCTTCTAAGGATTATGTCTCAAGGTAATTGTATTCATATTTTCAAACCTTAGATTTCTAAGATTAGCCCCATACTTATCCCTTGTCCCACTTAAAGAAATGTATGTAGTGATTATGGAATGAATTTTAACTCTTGGTTTACTAGTCTATATTTAGCAAGATCTTTTGCAAAGCCAACCTTTGTTGACTGTGCAACTGTGTACAAAAACTTTACAGCTTATGAAACCCTACGTTGCTGGACTGGCTACGAGGTGTAACCAACTCTATGTCAGTAGGTTTGGTTTTCTTTTTTTTAGTGCTTTATTGTGAAATACGTGATAGATTACATGGGAGGACATCAGCTTCACATTGATCTCGTCGTATATTGTTTCCTTGCCATGGTTACAGTCCCTTCCATGCATCATCCATCAACCAAAGTGTATACCCCGCAAGCCTGTCCCCCGGTCGGTTGTCTGTATACCGCTCCTATCCCTCTCTGAGTCTAAAGTCCCCAGCCGCTCCATCTCTCCACGTCATTGTCTCTGCCACCATCTCTGGCATCACTGCTTCTCTGGGTAGGGTTCAGTTCTCTGTTCTTCTCCTTTGATGGTCCCAGAGACCTCTGCTCCCAGACTGCAAGGTTAATCACTCCCCTCCCTTTGTCCCAAAATGTCCACCTTTACATTTCCAGCCCTTACAATCAGTCCTGATAACAATTACTTGCTATTGTATCACAAGAGACCTATCCGCATCTCCTTTCAACAGCCCCGACTAGGCAGAATGGATACTACTCTGGAGATTATACCTTGCTCCACGCCCTCTGGATCTAGGTTCCTTCTTGAAAGCTTGTAAGCCAGTCACTTCTTGCCTCTGTAGCCCCCCATTCTGGGTAGGCAGTATCCAAGTTGCCCATCCCTGTCTTCTCTGTGTATGGAGGAGGTGGGAATGATCCTCGCTGTGAAGCTTTGTTCACTCTTTTGAGCTGCTGCTTCCATAGGTGTGTGTCAGGTTCATCAAATTGTATCAGATTGTTCTTTTTTCCCTCTTCTTCTGTTTGAGCTCTGATCATCCAGCCATTGAAGCCAGGTCAAGTGGGTATTATCTGGAAGTGTGGGTGTTCTTATGCATGTGTCCTCTCTTCTTATCAGCTGGACACTTCACTCTCCACTCTAGTCCTTTGTGGCTATGTTGCTGACTCTGGGTCCAAGAGTCCCCTGGACTTGGCATACTGCTGGCCAACCAGGTCTCCATCCAGGTTCACAGGAGTCTATTGAGCGCTGTAGGCCTTAGCTCGCAGCTTTATTGCTGTTTTTCCCTCATTTCCCCTTATCGGTGACGAACATGATCACCAATCAGAGCATGCATTCCCATTGAACCTTAGTCTTAGAAGAGGGTTTGCTCTGAGGGAGACCCAGCCACTTGCCTTGATGTCTCCTGGGTGAGCCACTTGATTGTTCTTGTAGTAATCAGTGGGCCTGCCTATATTGTTTTGTATTTTTCCTGTCAGTCTTTCTTTCAGGAAGTATCTTCCATTCTTCTGGCCACTCTGCTTGTCTGGTCTGCTTGTCATTTCAAGTGGACATTTCCCCTCAGAAGATTTTGGATGCTGTTCAAGATTCCACCTATCGTCTTGTGTAATGCAGAGGCTCCGCAGGAAGCCTCCTTTGCTGGGCACATTGTATCCCCATTTAAGTATTCCAATTAGTTATAGGCAGAAGATGGACTTACAAGCTTTCTATGGTGATATTTCTGGCTATTCCTTTCTCTCCCCCTACAGTGTCTATTTTATAGCGGTTTGCCAGTGGAACCAATATTCAACAGACAGCCAAGCATCTTAACATTATTTCCCCCCTTTTCCCCATTCAAACCACGTCTCAATCTCTGTATCCCAGAGCCCTGTTGTTCCATGGTTTTGCATATCTCATTATTTGCCTCTGTCCCACTTCAGTTTCACATTCATCCTGTCATATTTTATTTCATTGCAATGATGAAAATCCTTTCCGTGCCTCATCAAATAACCAAAGGATACACTCCACAGGCCGGCCCCCCCTGGCTATCAGCAAACAGCTCCTCTCCCTCCCTGAATCCCATGTTCCTAGCTACTCCATCTGTCCATGCCATTGTAGTCCCCCCACCACCATTTTAGGTCTGGGGAGTTTCCAGACTCCCCCCCCGCCCCCCAAGGTATACCAGTTAGTTATAGGCTGGATATGGGCCCACCTGTTTTCTGTTGTGATGTTTCTGGCTGTTTCTCCCCCCACACCCACCCACCCAAGTGTCTATTTCACAGTGGTAGGCAAGGGAGACCAAGATTCAAAAGACAGCCAAGCATCCTAACATTATTCCCCTCTTTTCCCCCTTTCAAGCCATGTCTCAATCTCTGTATCCTGAAGTCCTGTTATTCCAGGGTTGTGCATACCTTGTCATTTAGCTGTCTCACCTAGCTCATGCGAACCTGCCCTACTGTTCTCCCATCTGCCTTGTTATTTTTCCCCTCCCCCTTCTTGTGTATTGCCAACCTTCCCCAACCCGCCTCTGCTCCCAGGCTCTCCTGTGTCTATTGCCTAACCTGTGCTCTTTCTTCCCCTCCCTACCCACCTCTCATCCCATACAAACCAGTGATCAGCACATATATTTTTAGATTTCCACCCTCCTTTTGGGTGGATTCTTAGATTTTTACAGTAATGGTCTTATGCAGTATTTCCCCTTTTGTGACTGACTAATTGCACTCAGCATAATGTCCTCAAGGTTCATCCATGTTATGTGATGGCTTCCAGGTTCGTTGTTGTTCTTCAAGGTAGCATAGTATTCCATTGTGTGTATGTACCACAGTTTGTTTATCCAGCCTTCACTTGATGGGCATTTTGGTTGTCTGCATTTTTTTTTTTTTTGTTATTGTAGATAGTACTGCTATGAACATTGGTGTGCATATATCTACTCGTGTTATGGCTCATATTTCTTGTGGGTAAATACCAAGTAGAGGAATTGCTGGATCATAAGGTATTTCTATTTCCAACCTTCTGAGGGAGCACCATATTGCTTTCTAGAGTGGCTGGACTATTTTGCATTCCTACCAACAACGTAGGAGGGTCCCAGTTTTTCCGCATCCTCATCAGCATTTGTTGTTCTCTGCTTTTTTGATTTGCTGTCATTGCTGGTGTGAGATGATATCTCATTGTTGTTTTGATTTGCATCTCTCTGATGGCTAGTGATCGAGACCATTTCTTCATGTTTGTTGGCTGCCTGGATCTCCTCTTTCGTGAAGTGTCTGTTCATGTCCTATGCCCATTTTTTAATTGGGTTGTCTTTTTTTTGTAGAGGTGTTGTAGTTTCCTATATATTTTAAGAAATGAGTCCCTTATCAGATGTGTCGTTGCAAAAGATTTTTCCCATTTTGTGGGTTTCCTTTTTACTATTTTGGTGAAGTCTTTTGATTCACATAAGTTTTTAATTTTTAGAACGTTCCACTCATCTGTTTTGTCTGTTTTTGTTTGTGTACTCTTCAAAATGTTTGGTAGTCTGTATATGCCCTGAGTTAGCGCCCTCACATTTGTCCCTATTTTTTCATTGATGACCTTCATAATTTTGGGATTCACATTTAGATCTTTAATCCATGCTGAGTTCGTTTTTGTATAGGGTGTGAGGCAAAGGTCTTGTTTCATTCTTTTACATATTGCTTTCCAGTTCAGCCAGCACCATTTGTTAAAGAGACTGTCTCTTCCCCATGCAATATGCCTAGGCACTTTGTTGAAATCATTTGGCTGTATGTGGTTGGGTTAATTTCTGGATTCTCCATTCTGTTCCATTGATCAATGTATCTTTCATTTTACCAGTACCAGGCTGTTTTGACCACTGTAGCCAATGTAGTAAATTTTGAAATTGGGGAGTGAGAGACCTCCAACCTTATTCTTCTTTTTAAGCAGTGGTTTGCTTACCTTGGGTCTCTTTCCTTTCCGTATAAAGTTAGTAATTGTCATTTTCATCTCGTTGAAAAACGTTGTTTGAACCTGGATTGGGATTGTATTGTATGTGTAAATTGCTTTGGGCAGTACTGACATTTTCACGATGTTGAGTCTTCCTATCTAGGAACATATGATACGTTCTTCTACTTCTGTAGGTCTCTTTTGGTTTCTTGTTTTGTAATTTTCTTTGTATAAGTCCTTTGTTTCTCTGGTTACGTTTATGCCTAAATATTTCATCCGTTTTGCGGCTATTGTAAATGGTATTACTTTCCTAAAGTCCTTTTCAGCAGTATCATTGTTGCTGTAGAGAAATCCAACTGATTTTTGTATGTTAATCTTATACCCTGCCACTTTGCTGCATCTTTTGATGAGGTAGTTTTTTTTTTTACTGAGCCTTTGGGGTGTTCTATGTATAAGACCATATCGTCTGCAAATAGGAGAGTTTTACTTCCTCTTTGCCAATTTGGATGCCTTAAATTTCCCTATCATGCCATATCGCTCTGGCTAAACCTTCCAAAACAGTATTGAATAGGAGTGGTGATAAAGGGCATCCTTGTCTGGTTCTTGTTCGCAAGGGAAGGCTTTCAGTTTCTCTCCATTGAGAGTGATGTAGGCTGTTGGTTTTTTATTTATGCTCTTGATTATGTTGAGGAATTTCCCTTAAATTCCTAGTTTGTTGAATGTTTTTATCAGGAATGGATGTTGGATTTTGTCAAATGCCTTTTCTGCATCAATCAATATGATCATGTGGTTCTTTTCCTTTTTCTTACTTATCTGGTGAATTACATTAATTGTTTTTCTGATGTTGAACCATCCTTGCATCCCTTTTATGAAATTCACTTGATCATGATGTATTATTTTTTGATGTGCTGTTGGATTCTGTTGGCTAGGGCTTTATTGATTATGCGTCTATGTTCATGAGGGATATTGGTCTATAGATTTCTTTTTTAGTGATGTCCTTCCCTTGTTTTGGGATGAGGGTTATGCTTGCTTTATAAACAGTATTAGGGAGTTTTCCATCCTCTTCTATATTCTGGAATAATTTGAGTAGAAT